CCCCCCCCCCCATGGCCCGGCCGCCTGCTGTATATGCAAGAAGCCCCCGCCCCGCTTGGGCGCCTGGCTGGCCTGAGCCCCGCCCCCGGCCGCCAGGCCACGCCTGCACACAAACATGACCCCGCCCCCTCCAGTGCAGCCACCGCCCCGCCACGCCCACTGGCCAGTCACTAGCAGAACGTGTATATGAACCTCTCAGTCCTTCTCCCAAGTCCATCCAGGCGTGGGCTCCCTTCCCATGGTAACCCATGGCCTCAGATCCCCTCCAGTATGGCGTTAGAAAAAACTACTTCAGGAGGCGCCTTGCCGCCCCACGTCCCCAAATCTTTCCGCTAACCCCACGGTTCTCGCAGCCCGGCGGGGGCGGGCAGAAGCGGTGACGAGGCACTTTTTGCAAGGAAGGGGAGGAGGAATGAACAGACCCCGGGGTCCTGGTGCGCGGTCGGTTCAGCTTTGGGGGTGTGGGCGCCAGATTGGGACTAGGGCGCGGTTCTGGCAGCCACTGCATCCTCCCTCCCACCACCAAGTTCTGTGGGTTTGGCACAGCAGCTGGCAGGGACATTAGGGCCCATTAGCAAAGGCGAGATTGCTACAAGAGAGGGAGGGAGCCTGAAGCTGGGAGGCCGAGACGAAGCAGTGGTGGTTGGTGGTGGGGGAGGCCTTCTCAGCTGCTACAGGCCTTCAAGCAGGTGGGTGGGCAGCAGGGGGGGGGGGGGGGGAGTGGAGAAAGGGGAGAAGGAGGTTCCTGCCAACAGATGGCCCAGGAAAGGCTGGGGCTTTCAGACAAGGGGTTGGGGGCAGGAGAGGAGGGCAGCCATCTGCACCTGGAGGCCGCCAGGGAGCTCCTCCCCATCCACCAGAGAAAAAAAGAGCTGGGGGAAGGGGAGGGCCGCTTTTATTCGGACTGAGGGTTCATCACCCCACCCCCACCCTCCAATATGCAGAGGGGCTGGAATCCTAGAAACGGGAGAGGCAGCTGGTGGAGTGCAGGAGGCGAAGGTGAGGGCTGCCTGCCAGCCACCATCTCTCCCCTTAGACTGAAACAGAAGTGAGGGGCTCCCTCTAGCTTAGCCAGATCTCCATGATGGCATGCAAGGATGCCAGGGTCGCCACCAATGTAGACAGCAATAAGTTAACTGGTTTCCTGGCCTCAGAATTCCTGGATGCCCACGTAGGAAGAGGAAGACGCTGGATACAGGGTGACAGGAATTCCCTAGGCCCGGATTTCCAGAGCTTTTGAGTCAAGGAGAGCTAGGCAAGACCGAGAGGTTCAAAGGGGGTTCCCCAGACACAGAGCTGCAGAAAGGATAAGAGGCACCACAGAAGGGATGGCCCAGTCTGGACTCCCTAGACAGAGGCTGTCATAAGGGGCCTTTTTGTAGGTCCGTCTGGTCAGGAGGCTGCAGGTAGTGGCTATGCCTGGCGACTGGCCCAGTAGCGGTGGTAGGTGTCCTGGAAGAGGTCCCGGCAGGTGATGTGGGCTCCGAGGCGGGCACATGCTAGGAAGGCCCCTGCCAGCTTGCGGTGCAAAGCATAGGTCTCCTCAGGTGGCGGGCGCAGTCGGTGTTGTAGCAGCACTGGGATGAGACCCTGTATGCGGCGGGCAGTGTCCCCCGCCCCAAAGTTGTAGGGGCCCTGGGTGGCGAAGGGCTCCCCCAGGATCATTACTGCCTCCACGTGGGCGTCAGAGAATGCCTAGGGGTGGGGACAGCACCAGTATAGGTACAGAGCCCTCTATCTGCCCTGGAAGAGACCAGCACCCTCCACGCCTCCAGAGTCTAAGGCACAAACACAAGCCCTCAACTCCCACCAGAGTAATAAGCAGCCACCATTCTTTCCAGAAACCCACTTCCCCCCAATAAACAGCCCCTCACTTCTTCTGTCTCCTACAGACTAGCCCTCTATTCTTTCTAGAACAGATAAGTAGCCTCCACTGCCTGACTCAGAATAGGTAAATGGTGGCCGCTTCCCCAGGATTCCTGAGTAGGCAAGTATCCCGACTCCTCCCCAGAGCTCTCCTGCATACATAAGCATCCTTTCTAGACATGCCCCACCTACCGTCCTTCCCAGAGCTGTTCAGTAGAGATAAGCAGCTCACCACTGCCCCCACCCGACAGACTCCAACCCTCTATTCCCCAGTGTCTCCCAACCTTAGTTTCAAAGCCTGTGAGGAATTTGAGGTCCCTGGATTTCTGTAGGACCCGGTCTCTGTCTCCATCGGCTGCAGCCTTCACCACCTGGGAAACGGGTGGGACAGAGGGACAAAGGCCCAGTGGCGCTCCAGGGGGTCTTACTCAAGGGGGAGAGTAGAAGAAAAGGAGCCTGGAGCTAGAACCTGTGCCCACTCCCAATCTCATCTATCTGAGCCCTCCCACCTCTGCCTACCTGTGACTCCAAGACTCTTCCAGAGCCTGGGGCTGGGGTGTTCAGGGGTGCCCGGGAATGCAGAGCTTGCACAGAGGAAACAAGCATCAAGTCTGCTCAAGCATCCAGACACAACTGGATGGGGATGAGGCTGGAACCCAGAGCTGCCCCTGATGTTGAGGTTGCCAGTGCCATCTCTGGCACCTGTGCTGGACTTTGAGCCCTGCCAGAGCAGGAATCCAGCTGGGCTTAGCTGCCCATGGCACAGGGCCTGGTACTCTGAAGCCAGTGGTGAACCTCGGTTTAGCAGCGAGTGTGGGGAGCTAAGCACCTGTCCAGCCCCAAGCTCCGGAGGGGGAGGAAGGAGTTAGGGACACCAACCAATGCCAGGCAGGAGCCAGCTTGCCTGGGCTCAATCTCAGCTCAGCTGCTTGCCAGCTGAGACTCAGCAAGTTGCTCTGCCTGGTGAGCCTCCACTTTCTCACCTGTAAAGTGGGGGCAATGAAGGCATTTCCAAGGGGCTGTTGTGAGAGTAAAGGGGATAGCTATGGAGTGCCTGGCTCTGTGCCTACATGTACCCCCCACCATACACATCAGGGTGTACTAGTAAGAGAGGCATGAGGGGTCCCTACTTCACAGAAGGGAAACAGGCTCAGAGTGGGGGTGAGAACTGGGGCCCAACCCTGAGCCGCTGTGTTGCAAGTTCTTGTGAGGAAGAGGAATACAGGATTAATCTGGCAGTTCCATTCTGTTTCAACTCCCCCAGCCCAAGCCTGTCTGGCCATCTGTCAGGCCTATGGTCCTCAGGGGCTGGTGTGACAGAGCTTTTTCAAACTAGAAACGGCTGGTAGGACCTTGCTAAGCCTGCCTGGTGTGGGGGCTGTTAGTGAAAATCAGGATGTTTCAACTACCCAGAGAGGCTTTGTGTCAAGTGGCCTGCAGAGAGAGGCCCCAAGGGACCTGTGTGTTGGGTGGGTGGGGTTTATGAGCTCCTCCTTCTTGTCCTCATCTTGGGAGTGGCCCCACCAGTCTCCAGACCAGAGGCTTGGGCCCTGTCCCAGACACCTTCCTTCTCAATTTCCAGCCTATGCTCCTCCACGGACTGTCCACTAGGCATCTCTCCCAACTGTCCTGTCATCCTCTCTGAGCCTCCCTGGGCTCCTGGCCCCATCTTAGAGCTCACTTGTTCAGTGGAAGTTTTCTAATTCTGACAGTATCCTCCTTGCTAGGTTCCTTTCCACTGCTCCTGGAACACCAGGATAAGGTACAGCTGCAAACATAGCCTCTGAGGCCAGGACTGGCTCGACTCCAGTCTCACCACCGATGCCCATGCTACTTGCACCTGCCCTCCCAGTTAGAATGGGACCTTCCTTTTGTTCCTCTGGGGCTTCGCTACTCATAGCCTGGACCCTGTGCAGGTGGCCCTGGCATCGTCTGGGAGTGTGTTAAATAAAAGTGCATCTTACACTGAACTCCAGACCAGAACCTATGGCTTACCGTGATTGCTGGGTGTTCACATGCACATTCAGGTTTGAGAAGCACTGCTCTAGTGGAAGAATTTCTGTGGCCTCCTGGCTTTTGCACACAGTCTTTCTGGAATACCCTCCTAGCCTTTTCCTGATTGGTCACTTCATCCCTCTTGTCTCCACTTGGACATCTCTCCCAGGAAACCTTCCCTATCCTCCCTGGGTCCCTCCCCTGGGCCCTTTGTCCCCTGCACTCGCACTTTCTCATTCCAGCTCTGACCACTCCGTGTCATCAGCTCTGTAAAGGTTGGGATTGGGTTATCACATGTCCCTAGCATCACCTAGAACACAGCCAGACATACAGGAGGTGTCAAAGAATGTTTGAATCAATGGCTAAATGATTACAAGATCCAGGTCAAATATTCAGTCTCAACAAATTAATGAGATTGTGTTCTCTGCAGCCAGAGACAAATCAACTCCGTGGGTGAGAGGGACAGCAAAGGTGAGGAAGCACTTCCGGAGGGCAGATTTCCCTAGGGAGAGCAGCCTGCCGGGGAGGTATGTGAGTACAGCCTGGACATCAGGGCTCTGACAGGGTGGGCTCTGGGGAGGTGCTAAGATGGCCCAAATTGGCCTTTCTTAGGAGGGAGGAGGCTGGGCAGAGGTTTGGAGTATAGGCTTTAGACCCAGACTACCTACCTGAGTCTGAATCCCATGTCTGCTGTGACATTAGGCAAGTGGTTTACCTGTCTAAGCCCCACTTAATCATCTGTAAAATGGTCCTTACCCCATAGAGTTGCTGTGTCTTTTTAATCAGTTACTATATATAAAGCACTTAAAACAGGGCCTGACACAATACTAAGTGGTTAGTATTTGTTAGCTGTTATTAATATTACTATTATTAATGGGACCAACAGATGGCATAATGGCTAGGTCACTGGACTCCCACATAGTCGACCGCAGTTCGAGTCCCAGACCTGGTGGCTTAAAACTCACACTGGGCACATGTGCATGTGTGCCCAAAATCCTGACAGAATGAAAGAGACTGTAACATAGTCATCTCCCCAGAGGGTGATTTCTTGCTTTCTGTCTCTTTAGTGAGTGCATACGCCCTATAGCAAAAATCTCTCTCTAAAAAAATAATTACTATTATTTATGACTTAAAAAAAAATAACTTTAGGGACCAGCAGGTGGCATTGTGGTTAAGGCACTGGCTACTCCTACATGGCCAACCACGGTTGAAGTCCTGGACCTGGACCTCCTTTCTCACTTTCCCTCTCTCCCTCTCTCTCTCTCCGTGTCTCTCTCTGGTCAAATTAAAATAAATGAATGAATAAATAAAATTAAATAAATAATTCTTTAAGAAAAAGAAAAAATAACTTTAAAAAGGCTTTTTTCTTTCATGAGAGAGAGAACATGTAAGGAAGTACCTAAGAGAAAGAGAAAAGTACACACCCTTGACAGGGTCACACCAGGACCCCCTTTCTCCAGTCCTCCAGTCCGTCAGGATCTTCAGGTTTCAGGCCAACCAGGGATCTGAACCCACTGTCGGCCAAGTGGCTTCCAGCACTGTGGGTCAGTACACTATTATTTATGCCACTGTGGTTGGGCCTATTTATTATTTCTTAATTCTAGATACTCTATTTCTCCTTCTTCTCCCTATACTTCAGTATCTGGCTTGAGCCTTGTTCTTTCAGAGGCTCCAGGGTCAAGTGGACTCACCTCGATGTAATGGTCTGTGAACTCCATCCCAAATTCCCGGCTTGCACCAAAGTCCAGTAGAGTCACCTGGGAACGAGGAATGGTGAAAGGAACGCATGGAGCCCTCTACCACCTCCCACTGTCTATGGGGGCAGCCAGGATCCATCTTTCCCTCCCCACAACCCTGCCCGCTCCTGCCAGAGTCCCTGCGTGGCTACATCCCTGGGCTCCTGGCTTCCAGTCTCCACACTTCATATCTACCTTGACAAAGTACCTGAAGGAATCTGGCTGATTTATCTATTTCTTTTTGGTCCTATTTACTTTTTATTATTATTTTTAAAAATTTGCTATAAAGTGCATGTGCTCACCAGAGAGAGAGAGAGAGAGAACAAGAGCACGCCCCAGTGGGACATGCTCACACCACAATCCCTTCTCTTCCATTTTTCCCTCCTTATAGGATTCTGGGCATGCAAGCACATGCACCCAGCATATTATTCAAGCTACCAAGTCCAGGACTTGAACAATGCAGTCAGCCATGTGGAATCTAGCCACCTTAACAACCATGCCACTGGCTGGCCCCCTATTTACTTTTATAACAACAAATGTTAAGCACAGGAAAAAACTCCAAAGACTCATAAAACTTTTAGAAGAATGAAATGAACACCTACAAATCCTACCATCCAGCTTAAAATAAAAAGTACTGCCAATCTAAGCAGGAAATTCTGAGTATCCAACCTGATCCCATCTCTTTCATGGCCCCAGTCTTTCTAGGGTCTCCACTTTTCTGAAATGACTATTTCCTAAAATTTCTATACATGCAGTCTACGTTTTCTACATGTGTACCCACAAATGATACCCAGGAGTGGTCTGCATGTTTATAACCAGTGCCGTACTTATCCTGTGACTTGTTTTCTGCCCACCATGGTTTTGCGAATTATCTCATGCTCTACATAGCTCTAGTGCATTCACTCGTTTTCTATTGCTGTGTAAGGACTTCATGGCTTGAATATATCACAATGTATTTATCTGGCTGACAGACACCAAGGTTGGTTGTTTCTGGGTTTTGTGCTTGATGAACACATACATGTATAAGAGTTTCTCTAGGGCAGGAGTGCACATGACAGACCCCAATCCACAGCAGGCAAATGCACCACAAATATAAAAAGTGTATTTTCAGGGACCAGCAGGTGGCATGGTGGTTAAGGTACTGAACACTCCCACATGGTCGATCACGGTTCAAGTCCTGGACCTGGTGGCTTGCTTTCTCACTTTCCCTCTCTCTCTCTCTCTCTCTGTGTCTCTCTCTAGTCAAAATAAATGAATAAATAAAATTAAATAATTTTTAAATATATTTAATTATTATTTTCTGGGACCAACAGTTAGCATAATGGCTATGTCGCTGAACTGCCACATAGTTGACCACGGTTCAAGTCTTGGACCTGGTGGCTTAAACTCACACCGGACACATATTCATGAGTGCCCAAGATCCTGAGAGGAGAATGGAGGAGAAGGGATTGTGGCATGGTCATCCCCCCGGGGGGTGATTTCTCGCTTTCTATCTCTCTGTCTCTCTCTTTCTGGCGAGTGCACACGCCCTATAGCAAAAAACTCTCCAAAAAAAAAGTATTTTCTATTAACTTTAAACAAAACAGTATTTTCTATTAAAACAAAAAAATGCTGTGTGCTTTAAATCAGTTATTATATATAAAGCACTTAAAATGGTATCTGACACAATATAAACTGATGTCAGGACTGGTATCATCACAGTTAAACAGACACCTCCCTGAGGTAAAAGCCTAGGCAGGGATGCAGAGGGGGCAGAGGGGGATAGTGACGAGGAACTGAGGCCAACGACCCAGTGGGGCCTCATGATGTTTGGCAAAGAGGTCCAACTTGATTCTGAGGGTGCTAAGAAGGGATATCTTGGCCAGATTGGAGTTTGAAGAAGATCCCTCTGGGGACAGAACATTCTGGAGCCACTTGGCAACCCCTGGTGAAGGTGGAGATGTAAGCACACCTGCTACAGGCCTGAAGGCCCAAACTCTTGCCTCTAGGCCTCTGCACACCCTGTGCCTCTACCCCACACACTCCGCCACTCTCCAGAGGGCTGAATTCCTCTTTCTGGTCTTGGCTTTAATGGTACTTCCTCCAAGCAGCTTTCTTTCATCCCCACCCACCCCAGGCACATTCCCTGTGATCCCACAGCCCTCCCCAATCCTGGCCCCAACACCTCTGCCTGTGTCTCTCCATCCCGCCCCCAACCTCCCTGGCCTGTGCTTCTCTATCATGGTACTAAACACTAGACCATTGATGACTAGTGACATGTTCCCCCACTGGACTGAAGAACCCCAAGAAGACAAGGATCAGGAATGTCCCATCATTGCTGTCAACAGGAAGAGTGTATTTTTTTTGTGGGGGGGGAGAGGTTTTTGCTATAGGGCACGTGCGCTCGCCAGACAGAGAGAGAGAGATAGAAAATGAGAAATCACCCCCCAGAGGGGATGGCCACACCGCAATCCCTTCTCCTCCATTCTCCTCTTGGGATCTTGGGCACACACGCACACGCGCCCGGCGTGAGTTTAAACCACCGGGTCCGGGACTCAAACCGCGGTCGACTACGTGGGAGTCCAGCGACATAGCCATTACGCCAACTGCTGGTCCCGAGATTTTTTTTTCCTATAAGGACACGTGTGCTCACCAGAGAGACACACAGAAAGTGAGAGATTACCTCCCAAAGCGAGAAATTACCTCCCAAGGGGGATAGCCATACTGCAGTCCCTTCTCCACCATTTTCCTCTTAGGATTTTGGGTACACATGCACACATGCCCAACAAGAGGTGTTTTTTTGTTTTGTTTTGTTTTTTTTTTGCAGGGGAGATTTTTGATGTAGGGTACGTGTGCTCGCCAGAGAGGCAGAAAAAGACAAGCGCGACAGAAAGTAAGAAATCACCCCTAGGAGAGATGGCCACACTACAATCCCCTCTTCTCCATTCTCCTCTTGGGATTTTGGGCATGCATGCACATGTGCCTGGCATGAGTTTTAAGGCGCCGGGTATTAGGACTTGAACCACAGTTGACTACATGGGAGCCCAGTGATATAATCATTACACCATCTGCTGGCCTCCAGCATAAGTTATTTTTTTTAATGATTTATTTATTTAATTTTATTTGTTATTATTATTTTTAAAAATTCGACCAGAGACACAAAGAGGTAAAGGGAAAAAAAAAAAAAAAAAAAAAAACAAGCTGCCAGGTACAGGACTGGAACTGTAGTTGGCTATGTGGGAGCCCAGCACCTTAACTGCCACGCCACCTGCTGCCCCTGCTGTGCCCCCCATTGTGAGTTTTAAGCCACTGGTCTGGGACTTACACCACGGTCAACCACGTGGGAGTCCAGTGATTGTAACCATTGCGCCACCTGCTGGCTCTGAGTAGGCATGTTTTAAATGGACAAGTGTGGTAGTGATGGCTAAGTGCTTTCCACAAGCTGTGTCTCTTATCTATACTGTCACACTGCCATTGGCTGGGGATTCCATTTTCCAGATTCCCAGCACTGAGCCAGGCTATGTTCACAATGATGAAATGGTAGAGAAAATGATGTATCACTCTGACCAGTGCAGTTAGGCAAAGGGTCACCTCTCTACCTGTTCCCTTTCACTGGAAGCAGAGCATCGTAAGGCCCTAGGGGACAGGGCCACACAAAGGAAGAAGCCTGGGTCCCTGAATCACTGTGTGGAGAAGGGGTACCCAGCTGTTGTGTGGGCAATCAACTACTACTGCTGAAATATGGGGGAACATTTATTACAGCAGCTAATGTAACCTAATACACATCACAAGGAACGAACCTGGTGGCTGGAGGCGTCATAGAGGAAGTTGGCCCAGTTGGGGTCTGTCTGCATGAATCTGAACTCGAACAGCTCCCGCAGACACAGCCTCAGGAGCTGGAAGCAAATCTGGGGGTGTGGGGAGGACAACAGGCAGCTCAGTATCCCTGAAGTCTTTCCACTTAGCCCTGCCCCTAGGCAGTATCCACCCCACTGTCCCATACCACCGTGTACCTGGTTCCGGATCTCCTGGCTCAAGCCCTGGCACTGGTCCAGGGGGACCCCCCCAGCCAGCTCCATGCCCAGCACCCGCGTGGTGCACAGCTCCTTAACCACAGCAGGCACTCGGAAGAAGGGGTCATCTGCCAGCAGCTGTCTGGGCGGGAAGGAATGGGACTTGGCAATTCAGGCCTCTGTGGTCCACCTCAAGGCACTTCCTCCTCTTCCTCCTCCTCTTCCTCTGAGTTCTCCATGAATAGTCTGTGTCTTCCCTTCCCTGGCCTCTGCCTGCCTTGGGCTGGACGGATGTGTAACATCTCGAGGGCACCTCCGTGTCTGCCCCAATGTGTGTGAGGCCCAGCTCTCATTTCCCTAACTGAAACCTTCTGACTTCTGGTGGCCACAGAATGAGCTCAATGTGCTTGGCCTGTGCTTCCTTTTTTTCATCAATTTATTTATTAGCTGATCCCAAAAATGGTCACTGATGTAAATATCCATGGCTTTACAGTGAAACTCACCATCACTCCTTGGAGCCACTACTCTGAGCACTGGCACGTGGGAGGAAACCCTATTGTGGGTCCATCCTTGTGCTTGGAGAGGCTGGGGTAATGAACAAGGCAGTCCCCAGGCTTGCCCCAACTCCCAGACCACACTAACAGACTGATTGATTCTGAATTGAGATAAGAATGTCAGGTCAGGGGACCAGAAGTTGGAGTAATGGCTATGTGGCTGGACTCCCATGTAGTCGACCGCAGTTTGAGTCCTGGACCCAGTGGCTTAAACTCACACCGGGCGCGTGTGCGTGCGTGCCCAAGATCCCGAGAGGAGAATGGAGGAGAAGGGATTGTGGTGTGGTCATCCCCCCTGGGGGTGATTTCTCACTTCTTGTCTTTCTCTGTCTTTCTGGCGAGCGTATGTGCCCTATAGCAAAAACCTCTCAAAACAAACAAACAAACAAACAAACTGCATGGTTGGCCATGTGGGATCCAGCCACCTTAACCACCAGGCCATGGGCTGGCCTGGGGCTTATAGTTTTGTCCTTGTTTATAAAATCTTTGATGTTTGAACTGGTCCCCATGAGCCTGGCTGAGCCACGTGTTCAGTCAACATGACTCCCTTTGATCCTCACTCTGGCCATGTACAGATTCAGGCTGCAACTGTCATTGAGGAGGACCAGGATCCAACCCCACACCTGTCTGGTCCCAGGGCACATGCCCCCACCACTGCCTTCTATTGCTTCTGCTCGCACTCTCTGGCCGCAGAGCTCAGTAGGTGTGAGTCTCACTGTGGAGGACCCCACGGAGGTGGTACATCATAAGCTTCTAAGATGTAACCACACTGTTCCATGTAGCCAGAGTGCATCCACCGTCGCTGCTATGTAATATTCCACGGATGAATCTGTCATTATTTATTTTTAGAATTATTTTATTGAACTTTATTTTATTGATTTAAATTTGACCAAAGAGAGCGAGAGAGAGAATGAGAAAGCAAGTCACCAGGTCCAGGAATTGAACTGCAGTCGGTCATGTGGGAGTACAGCACCCTTAACCACCACACCACCTGCTATCCCCATAATTTATTTACTCCTCCCTACAGGGAAAACTTGATAGATTTGTTTCTAGTTTGGGACTATTGCAAGCAATGCTGCTCTAAGAATTCTAACAAGTCTTAAAATGTATACTGGTATGAGTGTCCCTGAACATTTGGCAAGGGGGACATTATTAGGCTGCAGGGTACATTTAGATGAAAGCTTGTTGGAGGATGCTGAACTGTTCAACCTCTCCTCCTGCCCAGTGTACACAGGATGCTTGGGAGCCCCACTCCCTCCAACCCCCGATCAGTCGGCTTCATTTTTGTCAGTCCAGCAGGTGTAGCAGGGGTTCGTGTCTAATTCTGTGCCTGTGTCAAACCACAGTGGACCTGCGTCTCACCTGACAGGGCAGGAAACTGATGCTCAGAGACAGGTGACCTGCCCAAGCTCCAGCCTGCAGAGGACCCAGGGAGTAAGTGACGTAATGAGTTGAATGGATGGGTGTAAGTATAAGTGAATGAATAAGAAAAAGTTCGCCAACCCCACCGCTCTACTTCCCATTCAGCCTGGGAGGGAAGGAAGTTGGGAGGCTGGAGGGAAAGGGTCCCGAGGGGCCCGAGAGGGCTCATCTCACCTGAAATTCTGGGCACAAGCTGCCTCACGTCGGTAGTCACATTCCCAGGCCAGCTCCTGCTGCAAGGCCTGAAGGCTCTGCTCCGCAAAAAGGCCTGAGGGGGCGCCAGTTGGCAGGGAAGGTGCCCTCAGGCTCCCACGAGGGAGGGCCTCTCTCTCCCCCGTCTCTTGTACACAGATAGAAGCTGTCCCTCTCCTCAGGTACTGCCTCACACACTCTGACACAAACGCACTGTCCTGCCCACTCTCCCTTCTACTTCAGGGCTCTTTTGCACACCCACAAGCCCTATCCGTGTATTGCACACCCTCTACACGTCTGTGTCTCTGCTTCTGTCTCTCCATGGCTCCGTCAGACTCTCTCAGGTTTTCCCCACTCACACTCCTGCTGCTCCCTGGGCTCCCTCTGCCTCAGTGCCCTCCTCACTCACATTCACACGCGCAGGCCCTCCTCACTCACACACACACATAGGTACACAGAGGCACACCCTGTTCATGTTCTCCCTCCACCCAGTCACACTTTCACTCGGGGTCCCTCCCATGATCAGGGCAGGGGGCACCTCACCCTCTGGCAGAGCCGTGCTCATCTTGAGCACCGCCAGCAGGTTCTGGACATCACTATGAATGCTCTGGGCTACGCCCGGGTACTGTGAGGGGACAGAGAAAGAAGTGGGAGTCAGTCCCCTGGGATAGCAGGCGTCCACCCCACCCCACCCAGCCTGCCCTCGTACCTGGATCTTCACAGCCACTTCCGTCCCATCCCTCAGCATGCCCTGGTGCACCTGCCCAATGGAGGCAGCAGCGAAGGGCACCTCTTCCAAGGAGGCCACCTTGGCCTGCCAGTCCTTGCCGAGCTCTTCTTCGAGAACCCTCTGGGGAGAGCAGTCACAGCAATCACGTCCGTGGTCGGGCACAGCTGAGTTCACTGCCTGTGCTGAGGTTCTGGCCTGCTCCTAACTCTAGTACTCACCACATGCTGTGCTCTGGGCAGCTACCCGCTTACAGATGGGGAAACAGGCTCAGAGAGAAGTCCCTTTGCCCAAGGTGAGCAGCCAGGTGCTGGCAGACTTAGAGTTCCAGCCTAGCTTATATCTCCTAGGCTCATATACTCCCCATGTGTGGGCTATTACAGAAATTGCTCTTACTTATAATTAAGATTGATAAGTCATTTTACAAGCTAATGATATATAATGGTTAAATGTAAAAGAAAAAAAAAAAGATTAGGGGCCAAAAGGTGGCGTGGTGGTTAAGGCAGCTGGACTCCCACATGGCTGACCACAGTTAAGGTCCCGGACCTGGCAGCTTACTTTCTCACTTTGTCTCTCTCTCTCTGTCTCTGATCAAATAAAACTAAATAAATAACTAATTCTTTCTCTCTCTCTCTCTCTTCTTTTTAAAGACTGATAACAGGGGCCGACAGGTGGCGTGGTGGTTAAGGCAGCTGGACTCCCACATGGCTGACCACAGTTCAGGTCCCGGACCTGGCAGCTTACTTTCTCACTTTGTCTCTCTCTCTCTGTCTCTCTCTGGCCGACTTCAATAAAATGAACATAAAATAAAATAATGACAATGAACAAAATTAAAAAAAAAAAAAAAGACGGATAACAATCCTTTTTCTTCTTCTTTTTAAACTTGCCAGAGGGTGCATGCACTCACTAAAGACAGACCAGAGCGGGGCAGAGGAAGAATGAGAAACACTTCCCAGGGGAATGGTCACACTGCAATCCCTTCTCCAACTCTCTCCTTTTGGGATTTTCGGCACACACTCACATGCATCCAGCATGTTTCTCAAGTCGCTCAGCCTGGGACTCAAACTGCACAGGTGGCCACGTGGGATCCAATCATCTTAACCACCAAGCCACTGAATGGCCTGATGACAATCCTCTAAAAAATCTCCTGGCTGGGGGTGGCAAGTGGCAGATGGCAAGGACTCCCACATGGCTGACCACAGTTCGACTCCTGGATCTGGTGGCTAGCTTTCTCACTTTATCTCTCTCTGTCCCTGTATGGTCTAATTAAAATAAATAAATAAAGTTAAATCAAGTGATTCTTTAAAAAAAAAATCTCCCGGCTGGCCCCATAGTGTAGGAGTTAAGCACTGTGTATGGGGAACTGGATCCAACATGGAATCTAGCTTTAGTTCAAATCCCAGCCTCAAAGGCTTGAAAATCACACTGGACACGTCTCCATGTGCTCAAACTCTCAACAGAATGGAGGAATGGAGAAGGGATTATGGAGTGTCCATGCCCCATTGGGAGTGCCTTCTCCCTCTCTCCCTCTCTCTGCTTCTCTGTCTCTGGTGAGCACACACCCTCTGGCAATTACAACAAAAATTAAAATACTCATATAGAGAATTTTTAAAAAGGAATCATCTAATTTTATTTATTATTATATTTTAATTTGACCTGAGAGAGAAAGAGAGAAAGTGAGAAAGCATGCTGCCAGGTCTGAGACTTGAACCACAGTCGGCCATGTGGGAATCCAGTGCTTTAAACACACTACCTGCTGGTCCCCCTGTGGAGTATTTTTTTTTTTTTTGGAGAGGTTTTTCGCTATAGGGCACGTGCGCTCGCCAGACAGACAGACAGAGAGAGACATAGAGACAGAAAGCGAGAAATCACCCCCCAGGGGGGATGGTCACGCCGCAATCCCTTCTCCTCCATTCTCCTCTCGGGATTTTGGGCATGAACGCACACACGCCCGGCGTGAGTTTTAAGCCACCGGGTCCGGGAGGCGAACCACAGTCAACTATGTGGGAGTCCAGCGACATAGCCATTACGCTAACTGCTGGTTCCCTCTATGGAGTATTAATAACTCGAAGTTAACGTGATAAGGAAGAGCTAAAGTTTACAGGGGCCTTCCTCTAGACTGGGTTCTGTTTGGAGTGGATCAGAGAGAGGCAGTAACTGCCTGGGGTCAGGTAGCAAGTGCACAGAACAGAGATGGGAAGGAAGGCAAGTTGTCAGATTCTGGATTCCATACCCTCATCCAGTTATGAGAAAAACAGCTCTTGTCTGGGCACTCAGTATCAGATGCTGAGACTATTTCTAGACATGAGTTCTTTGATTAAGAAAACAGAAATAGGGTTAGCTCCGTGGTACAGCTGTAATGCACTGTTAAAGAGAAGCTGGATCCCACATGGTGACCACTACGTGACTCCTTGGCCTGGTCAGCCTGAAACATGCCAGCACATGAGTTAGTGTCCAATATCTGACCGGCTAGAAGGGGACTGTGGTGTGACCAGACCCTGTGGAGAGTGCTTCTCTCTCTCTGTCTCATGCTTGTGTACAAACTCTATCATAAATTTAAAAACAAACAAGCAAAAAACAAAAAAACTGAGCCAGCAGGTGGCAGGGAGGTTAAGGCAGCTGGATCCTACATATCTAACTGAGTGGTTCAAGTACCAGATCTGATGGCTTGAAAAATATCTCCCCTTGGAGGATGAGTTCTCACTTTCCCTCTCTCTCCTCATTTTGCTCTGGCAAGTGCATGTGTCCTATAGCAAACTAAAAAATAAAATAAAAAAAAACCCTAACAGGGGCCAGCAGGTGACAGAATGGCTACATCACTAGACTCCCACATAGTCAACCATGGTTTGAGTCACAGACTCAGTGGCTTAAAACTCATGCCAGGGGTTGGCAGGTGGCACTGTGGTTGAGGCACTGAACTCCCACATGGTCAACCACAGTTTAAGTCCTAGACTTGGCGGCTTGCTTTCTCACTCTTTTTCTTAAAAAAAAAAAAAAAAAAAAAACAAAAAGCTAATAATGATAATAAATAAAATAAAATAATTCTTTTTTTTTTTTTTTTTT